ATCTTTACTGCATTTCAGTTTGAATTTACTGAATAAAATATTCCCTGTTCCTCACAGGTATCTGTACTGCATCGACCCCTTTTGTGCTTCTGGGGGATGTTCTGGATTGCCTGCCTTTAGATCAATGTGACAAAATTTTCACTTTTGTGGAGAAGAATGTTGCCACATGGAAATCGGTAGGTGTTCTTCCAAAAAGTGATGTGGCTGTGCCAAAGCTCCTGTATACCTGAGCCATTTTACAGACAGATTTTTAACTGTATCTGTTTGGGTTAAAATAGTACCATCAAGCACATTCTGTTTTGAGGCTTAAAAATGTCTGGTCAGCAGAGGTCAGAAAATTAATAATAAAAGGAGTGCCTGTTTATATGTTCCCTTGTTGTGAAACCTGCCTCTTAAGGGAAGACTCAAATTTAGAGCTAACAGTAGGAATGACTCACACATACTCATGGCTTGTGATTGATTTAAAATCTGCTCAAGAAGGTTTTGTGATCTCTTAATGATCTGAAAACCTTTATTCTGTTTCAGAATACCTTTTACTCTGCAGGGAAAAATTACTTGCTACGCATGTGCAATGGTGAGTTGTAAGGGTTTTTGGGGGCTTGGGAATTAAAGAAATCCCTATTTTTAGCAAATGGAAGTGGGTTCAGTGATTTGATTGGTATTCAGATGTGTTCCATAAGTAATAAAAGGCAGATCACTCATCTGAGCAGGTATTCATAAGTTTTGCTGATTAATATAGAAGTCATCCTGGCCGTGGGGAAATCCCTTCATCAGTGGAGGTCGTTACAGAACAACTGAGAAATATTTATTCCTCAGCAATGATAAGTCAAGTCCCATATTGGAGGCTATACTTGAGTAGGATTCCTTTGAATTTAGTGTTTATTGGTGTTGAAGGTGTTAGGAGAATTGGTAGAACACATAAGGCTGATCTGAGGAAGTTCCTAGCATTTAAATTTGCAAATCTTTGCTTCCTTTTGTTAGCTGTGTAGGTCATGTAATGAGCAAGCCTTCAGTTCTAAGGCATGAGAAATGGCCGTATTGGAGGCTATACTTGAGTAGGATTCCTTTGAATTTAGTGTTTATTGGTGTTGAAGGTGTTAGGAGAATTGGTAGAACACATAAGGCTGATCTGAGGAAGTTCCTAGCATTTAAATTTGCAAATCTTTGCTTCCTTTTGTTAGCTGTGTAGGTCATGTAATGAGCAAGCCTTCAGTTCTAAGGCATGAGAAATGGAAAGAGGGATAAATACTAACATCCTTTTTACAATTTTTAGACCTCCTAAGAAGATTATCTAAGTCCCAAAACACAGTCTTCTGTGGAAGAATTCAGCTGTTCTTAGCGAGGTTATTTCCGCTTTCAGAGAAGTCAGGTGAGGTTTTTTTGCATTTCATGACACTTAACATCTAACAAAGACTCTGAACAAATATTCTGAACCTTTTAAGTTTATCATGGTGCAGATCAGATCCACTTTGCACTTGTATCTTCATTCTTCTCTCCACCCCTCACAGTGTTTGAAATCACAAAAACCAAAAGTCACTTGTGTGCTGTTTCTGAGAATTCAGTGTCAGCATCTCATACAACTAACTGCACATGGACAGACACCTGAACAGCACAACTTCTAGGTTTTTTGCATTTCATGACCCTTAACATCTAACAAAGACTAAATATTCTGAACCTTTTAAGTTTATCATGGTGCAGATCAGATCCACTTTGCACTTGTATCTTCATTCTTCTCTCCACCCCTCACAGTGTTTGAAATCACAAAAACCAAAAGTCACTTGTGTGCTGTTTCTGAGAATTCAGTGTCAGCATCTCCTATACAACTAACTGCATGGACAGACACCTGAACAGCACAACTTCTAAGGCTGAACCTTTGTTTTTCACAGGGCTCAACTTGCAGAGTCAGTTTAACCTGGAAAATGTCACTGTTTTCAATACCAATGAACATGAGAGCACTCTGGGACAAAAGGTGAAAATTCCTATGTCATTTTTCACTCCTTCTGCATTAAACATAAGATTGCTTGCACAGAAACTTGCTGCTGTGCTTAATACTAAGAACTGTGTCCAGAATTTAGTACTCATTCTTCCAGACCAAGCTGCTGATTCTGGAAATAGTTGTTACCTGGTACATTTACCCCTCAAATTCTGCATGGTTTAAAGGCTGATTTGATTTTAATGGGATAAGCAGTGCCACTTACTGTGCTCAGTTTTCCCCACAGTGTAGAGAGGACAGAGCTGGCTTTCCAGCTGTTCTCAACAAAAGTCAGGCTACCATCAAAGGATAGTAAACTGCTAACAGAAATTTGTTGCACATTGTACTGGAATAACACTTTAGAGATCTTTTGAATTACCAGCTTAAGCTTTCTGTTATAGTGTAATAAAATCTTTAAAGAACATTGTGAAAACTGTGTGCAAATTGTAGTGACACTTGTATAAGTTTTGAATTTTTTCCTATTAGCACACTGAGGAGAGAGAAGAAGGAATGGATGTAGAAGAAGGTGAAATGGGAGATGATGAGGCACCAACAAGTTGGTGAGTTTACAGCAATTTTAAA